GACCCATATCTGTCACTCTGCCCAAAAGTTAGATCCAAGTAGATCAATACCTCAAAACCAAGTGGATGAATTCTGCAGCACTAAAACTGCTAGAAGAAAACACAGACGGTTCCCTACAACATATAGATGTGGGAACAGACTATCCAAATATGGCTTCATTTGCTAAGGAATTAAGGCCAACAATCAACAACTGTGACCTCATAAAACTAAAGTGTTTCTGTACCATTTGTGTGGGACAATTCTGTATTCTGTCAATTATGTTTTAAATAAACGCTGATTGGTCAGTAGCCAGGCAGGAAGTATAGGCGGGACAACCAGACAGGAAGTAGAGGTGGGCAAGGAGAACAGGAGAATTCTGGGAAGGAGGAATCCCATTCCCCACCCCAAGTCCTGTCCAGACACCGAAGAAGCAAGATGTGACCTGTCCCGCTGAAGAAGGTACTGAGCCATGTGGCTAACATATATTAGAATAATGGGCTAATATAAGTTATAAGAGCTAATATAAAGCCTGAGCTAATGGGCCAATCAGTATATAACTTATGGAGACCTCTGCATGATTTTTTGGGGGGACCTAAAGGCTGTGGGAACTGGGCAGACCAGAAACCCCAACAAGCAGACCCTCATGTTAACATACCGCTAAGGAGTTTATGTTTTAAAATTGTCATCCTGTGAGTCCTGCCTGTGAAGATGAAAGAATGCTAGCTAACTCTGGGAACCATTTTCACTACAGTGAAGAGAACTGAGGACTCAGAGGTAGTGCCTTACTTTAGAGCTGATGATGTCTTACAGACAGACAGATTTATCTGCCATAGAATTGGATGCACTGCCTCTGAATGCTCCTGCATCTGCCTGATGGAGACTGTGTTGACTTGCCCTAGCCTGGAACCCAACTTACTCTTCTTTATGCTCCATGACACCCAGAATTCTTTTGTACTCATGGGAGGCACTGACATGCCTTTGAAATAATGCGTACCCTTTTTATGTGTACAGGTCGCTTCAGCTCCCATTTTCAAACCACTAGAGTTTGGTTTTAAACACTTCAGAAAGGTATCTCATGTACCCCAGTGACCCAAGAGCATAGTTTGAGGGGGAAGGAGGGAGAAGAAGCAAGCATTCTCACATACTGGCTCTATTGACCATTTTTGAATTTCTGAGCCTGGCTCCACCCCTCTTCCAGGCAACCAGAAGCTTCTCCAAGAGAGGGGAGAAATGATATTTTATGTCACCTTTATTCAAAACAAGCTTTGTAGCAGGGTGAACTTTTGAGATGCACCACAGACACGAAAAGGTCTTCAAGCCATAAGAAAATGACAGTGAGTTCAGATTTTCTACTCTCCCTCTCCCACAGGGCAGGTTATCTGTCTTTGTCATGGCTAATAGCAATTTATGCTATCCATGACCACTGGAAGGAAAAAAATTCATATTTAAAAAATGAACTGAGACAGATTCCTTCTGTATTTACAACAAGCTCATGCCATGCAGAAGGAAGCAGAATATTCAAGGTCATGGTTTCCCAGCCTTCACTGGGAGGTTGTCATTTATTGATGATCTTATCATTTAGATTTCAAACTTAGCAGACATTCTTCTGGTGTCTTTAAAAAGAAAGAGACTTTGGATTTTGAGGATAAGAAGCTTCTAGAGATCTTCCTGTTTTCAGGAAGAGGACACTTCTTAGCTTGTCAAGCTTTTCAATAACACTGTCTCCCAGAGAGTAAAGCAGAAAAAATTTAAGTGTAGCTTCAAGATTGAGAGCATTTTAAAGCCAGATATGAAAATAAAATATTCCAAACCCAGGATCTGTGTACCAACCTTCTAAAAATAAAGAATTAGGATTTTTCTCAATTTGGAATCTTGGTTCAAGTGAATGGAACTTGTCCTCTCTTCTTACCCTGTTACCCATCCTGTTCCCAGCTTGTCAGTGTCTGTTTAGACATAAACATACATAATGGAATGGCAGACCAGACGATGTCAGCTCATGAAACCCATAGAAGCTGTAACTCACTGGAGGTTGAAGGCGGCATTAGATGATTCAGTGTATCTGTCTAGAATGTGATAGTATTAACACATGCGTCTTCCCTTTCTCATTCTCACACAATGTCCACAGGAGTTTAAGTGACTGCCTCCTTATTTTGGGAGGTTTGGTTTTCACTAATTTTCCAATTTCTCTAATCATTAACATCAGTGTTTCAGGCCTTCTTATACATCCACCTATCTATCCACAAACCCATCCATCCATCATTCATCTACCCTTCTGTCCATCTTTTCTGTCAATCCAGTACATATCCATCCATCCATCCATTCATCCATTCATTCATCCATCCATCCATCCATCCAGTCAGCCAGCCACTCTTACTTATGAATGCCCAACCTTAGCTTGACTTGTTTCTAGCCAGTTTTTCTAACTTAAACTATCCCATTTCTCTTTAACTACATTTTGCCTCTAGGCTTTAACCATTTTTGTTCTATATACCTTTCTTCCCTTCTTACTCTGTGACTAGCCATGTGACTGTGTGACTGGCCTCTGTTGTCCTCCTCTTCTCCTTTTCTCACTCCTTGCCCTCTTCCCTAGATTTCTCTCTCTGCCCACCAAACCTGCCTATTTCTCTCTACTGACTAGTTATTGGCTCTTCAGCTCTTTATTAGACCAATCAGGTGTTTTAGGCAGGCAACGTAACATAGCTTCACAGAGTTAAACAAATACAACGGAAAATAATGCAACACATTTTTGCATCATTAAACAAGCATTCCACAACATAATGAATGTAACACATCTTAAACTAATATCCCACAACAAGTCTATACTGAAGACTAGCTGAGACATCCACCCTTATGGATTGAACTACTGGATTGTTAGTCCTTCCATTGGTAGACAATCACTGTTTGAACTAGCTGGGCCACATTCTAGATAATCTCATTATATATTTAAATTCTACAAGTTCTGTTCTTCTAGAGACCCTGAATAATACACGGCTTGTAATAGTGCACTATCCCTAGAAATAGGTGAAAGTTTTGTGCTTGTGAATATCTCTTGTGATTTCAATAGATTTCACTTGGGCCTTTTGAGTGTCCCCCAAAAGGCCCAAGTGTTGAAGGTTTGATGCAAAACTTCTCAGTGATTGGATCATGAAGACTTTGGCCTTAATCAATGGATTAAATCACTTATAGATTCACAATTAATAGACTATTAAAAGTTGGTGGCAACTATGGAAGGTGGGGCCTGATTGGATGAAGTGGATCATGGGGTGGGGCTGTTGTTTGGGTCTATTCCTTGTTCTGGGTCCTTCCTTTGTCTTGTTCCTCTGCTTCCCAGTCACCACAACAAGAGCTATTCTGCTGTGCTATCCTTCTTTCCCATGATGCACTGTACAACCACAGACCCACAGGGATGAGGGCAAACAACTATGGACTTGAGCCTCTAAAACCTTGAGTCAAACTAAAGCTTGTCTTCTTCCAGCTGTTTTAGCTCAGGTATTTGAACACAGCCATTATCAAAACTGACACGTGAGAAGAAAAAGGAAATCCTGATAACAAAATATCTAAGTCAAGGCTGGGAGTCATGGTACAGAATTTCTGCACTCGGGAGGCAGAGGCAGGGGGATCTTTGTAAGTTCAAGACCAGTATGGTCTGTGTGCAAAGGACAGCCAGAGCTGTTACACAGAGAAACCCTGTCTTGAAAGATCAAAAAAGAAAAAACAAACAAACAAAAAAATGCACACACACAAAAAAACCCCTAAGTCAAAAATTTTCTCAAGAATGAGGAGAAGGAAGCAAGATAATGAGCAAAGGGGAGAAAATGTAATCCAGCAGTTTGAGATATAGGAGGTCAAACCCAAACCCAGCTGAATAATTTGGTTATAACAGAAGATGAAGTGTGTGTGTTTGCATGTATGTATGTATATCATACATATATAATGTATATAATTGTTCATTATATATTTATATATAGTTCTAGAAAAGTCACTTGTGTCTCTTTTTAATAGTTAGGGAAAGACCTTTGTCTTGCAGATGTAGTACAGTGTGTTTCTCCTCACCCGGGAGCAAGAGCATGAATTTCACAGGATAGTATCTTCTGTCTAGGGTTCCCAGAGTCATCAGATGCTGAGCTTTTCTTTGTGTCTGCTGACCTCACTTCATTTCCTCAGTTTCTCCAGTGTTGTCTCTGTTTTATCTCCGTCAGTATATTTCTCAAGTTCTTCCTCCTCTTTTTCTTCCTTCACGTGCTGTCGTCGTCGCTACCTAGTGTCTTCACCCACTCTTACCTTCACATGCTGTCTTCATGGCTACCCAGTGTCTTCACCTGCTCTTTCCTTCACATGCTGTCGTCATGGCTACCCAGTGTCTTCACCTGCTCTTTCCTTCACATGCTGTCGTCATGACTACCCAGTGTCTTCACCTGCTCTATCCTTTTCTCGGAAATACACCCAGTATCCTCTGGCATTATCAATCCTCCAAACTCCTAGTCAGATCTTGTTTTCTAGGACCCTCTTCCCCGAGTTGGGGCTTCTGTAGTTCTCTTGACTTAGTCTGTTATAAACTGTAATATACATACGTATACATATATAGGAATATATTTCTAATATGTACATATTAGAAAACACAAATATATGTTCTATATACTAGAAAATACAATACAGTTTATAACAGACTAAATATATGTATACATACATACATACAAACATCTATATCTATATCTATATCTATATCTATATCTATATCTATATCTA